GATTTTGGCATCTGGGTCTCCTCAAACTTGTCCTTCTCACTGCACCATGAGAAATCGGCCCAAAAGGCATTCGCCATTTTACGGATGATTCGGCGGACCTTCTCCCGTATTACTCGCATGGACTTCCAAATACTCTATGGGGCCTACGTCAAACCGCTCCTGGACTACGCCAACCAAGTTGTCTACTCAGGACGCACGAAAGACGTCACCCTCATTGAGCGTGTTCAGCGGGCCGCTACGAGAATGGTTGCCGGCCTCAAGTCCGTGGACTACGAAACGCGTCTCGCGATGCTTGATCTCTTTCCCCTGGAGTACCGTCTCCTCAGAGGGGACCTAATTCTTACTTACGCCCTGTTTGAACAGAGCTTGGCAAACAGGTTTTTTACCGTTGACCCAGCAAACTAAAGGCGGAGACTTAGTAAGAAAATGTTCGAGCTCAGGGCACACACATTCATTAGACAATTTTTTCCATTTCGGGTAGTAGCTACCCTTCCTCCGATTGTTGTACACGCTCCTTCTAGAACCCAGTTCAAAGCACTATTAGACATTTATTTATGCGAATCCTCGCGCTGGCAAGCATACTGCCCCGCGCTGAGAACATAAAGAGCAGTGCTACACCCTTTTTTCACTTGTGCCCTCCAGGTGAACGACAGCCACAGACAGACAAGAACAAAGGCGACCCGGGAAACTTGGGCAAAAGCCTCGATCCTGTGTATCCACCCGTTAATCCGTGAATCCCGGAGACCTGAACTACGCACACAAACCCAATCTGACGGCGATCAGCGGAAGTCATACTCATAACTGTACGCCAAATCGCCTACATTGGCTAGTTTTTGAAGCTCATTTGCCGGTGCATATATGCAACACCGACCATTATTTTTAAACTATGCATGGTATCCGAATCTAATGGCCAACGATGGCTCATCCTACCCAGAAATAGGCGCCTCCTCGCTTATGTCTGTTATCTATAGTAAGCGCCAAGCGCGTATGTATGTGGGCCAAAATGAGGCCCCAACTATACATGATATCGCAATCTAACGGCCAAGTCTAAGGCTATTTTTAGTGACTACCCAGCACGAACACATGCCCGTAACTGCCTATAATTCCTCAACTTTACATAATAGACCAATCCGACGATCAAATGAGGTCCTTCATATTTCTGGTCCACCTTCCAAACCCATGCCTTAAAATACAGAACCAGTTTCACAAAATCATGTTTCTATTTATTGGTGTGTGTGGCCAGTCCAGTTCCCAGTTTTTTGCTCCACAGGGCTTGTGAAAATTGTATAATCAATTACAACTCGTACATATCTTCTGCGATATCGCTCAAAACAAAATTAAACAAAATTATAGTGGATAACTCACCAAGTGCTTTATAAATTTTATTGACCACAATTCCCGGCCGGTGTTCGCGCTGAACCTGGAGTCTTATTTTCATAAAGGTAAACTCACTACTTGCTCAATCAGTCCAAGCCGATAGCTTGATTCGGCAACCATATGCATTGAGCACAACGAAGCAAAAGCTTAAAAGGAGGGTGTGCGTGTCAGTCGTAAGGCCAATAGGTGTAGACTTGAGTCCTAGGATCACAGAGCCACATGCGTTCTCGAAGTTCGCCAATAGATGCAGCCATGGCAGAGATCTAGAGAGTGAGCTAGTGCCTGATATCAAATCCGCTCGTTTAGAGCAATAAATTCATTTCACTCTATTTCTGCCTCCTGATACCGATACAACGTAGCCTAATGAAATTGACAGCTCCATCTTCCTTATCGAAACTCGTAACCATCTTACACTCAAATACAGTAGCAATCTCACCAACAAGGAGTTTCTTTCTGGGCATCATCCAACTCATAGTTCGTGTGGAAAAATTGCAACCCATCTTCACCTTCAGAATCATACCGACTATATCCGAATAAATGAGCTGGTGAGATATCCAAACTTGGTGAAACCCGACTGCCTCAGAAAATAATAATAATAATATAACTGAAGACTACAAGGTCGTAGTCTTCGATGGAAATCCCTGTTGCACAACCGAAAAATCGCTAACAGTCGCCTGATGGGTTTGCCGACACCAACCCATACGAGCCATGGTTTTGAGGCAACCGCTGTCAAACACCCGAAACCGCCATTGTTGCGCTCCTCGAAAATGCCACATCGCACAACCATACAACAAAACACCCCGTACTGCAGTCTGATACACACGTTAATTGATATTCACAGATACAGCGCCTTGACGACACAGGTGTTTCAAATTTGCGACCCAAGCATTGAAGGTTCGTGCAGTGACCTCATTTGTCACACTACAATCAAAACTAATACAACTTCGAATGTATATAAAGCGCTGCATCACACTGCCTTGCTGCGTGCTTACACCGGTTTGTCTTTGATCCCTATAATAGTAAACCTTGGCAAAATCAGTATGTGAATGACCGGTAAATCCACGAATCTACCTCCATCCTGTCCCACTTAATCACTTGTTGTCACCATCGTATTTGTTGTAAAGGTAAAGTTTTTCTGTCCATTAATGCACCCTATCCTACAGATGCCTCCTCAATCTCACTGGACCTTATTGATCTTATCCCATTATTTCATTGTCTGGGGCTTTGTCCTTCAGGAGCATCAGCCTCAAGTGCCCTGGTGATGTGTCATCCACTCCACCTGGCGTGCGATTCACACCTACAGCGGTATTCAACCGGACCAGAAAAATACCTGCGATTTACATAAGTTTTGCTTTAACTCTGAGGATTCCCTCGGTCAACCAAAATATCCCCCCTTCACAGAATTGCATATCCTACCCCAATCACCTCGAAAATGACATCCGTTACGGGACTTCACAGAAACCGAAGTATTTCATTACAATGATGGCATGGAACTGCTATACCCAGCTTGATAGTACACCCAAATCTATCCCCTTCATTATATTGACTGCACCCTATCGCAAAGTTACTCCACCATCTGCAACTGCAAATGAGCTCACGCTTTATTCTGACCGTAACCTGCCTGACGGAACATCACACATCAGTTGAAAATAAACAGTGTTATGATAACCTGACATTTTATAGACATAAAGCGCGCACCAAAAGACGGGATAAATTTGGTCAGTTTGTCCAAAAACACCTGCGGTTTTTCCTCATCTTTGAAGATGAGAACGATGTCTGTATACTCCGGATCGACAAGAATTTTGGTATATGATATTTGAAAACTGGGTTCAGCATATATTTCAGCGTTCATCGCATTATGATGGATCGAGAAATTAAGTTGGAATGGGGGGAGGGCGCCCTCGACGGACACTATTTTGTGTACGGGAGCTTTTGGAGCTCTCTATATTTTTTCGTAACATATCCGCCCTTCTCGCATCTCCTGTCTACGACGAAGCAGAAGACTGCATGTTTAAACATTCTCCCTTCAGCTGCATGTCCTCTCCCCACAGGTGCTCCTTCAGCATGATGAACCTCATAATTTTGCAATGAAGGAAAAACTGAATGGGAGTGACTTTTATCGGACGCCTGTGTTTCTAGCCTGAGCTTGTCCTGGTTGTGACATAAAGCCGAGCAATTCTCCCATAAATGGAAAAATTCATTGATCGATGGACAAAGATGCTAACAAGGTCTCACCGAATACACGCCGTATACGCCTCAGAGGCAACTGGTTTTGCAAAGCTGCACGCTTTTCTTTGGTCTATAATAGTCCCATTCTGACATCCGTTCATCGTACAAACACGCAGCACCACCAACCATCTCTGATCTCATGTCTCGCTAACCTCCGAGCTGCCTTAGTTGAACAAAATATAGCAACTGTACGTCCCTTATAATAACATATACACAGGTTCGCATCGACCGCATACGTATTATCTGCACCTGTATTCCTATCGCATTTATAGTCAAGCAGTTTTGCCTTATTGAAATGGCTGGGAAATGTGACGACGTTTGACTGTCTGTTATTTTGGGCGGCATTCTAACTCACATCAGAGTGCTCTATAGCGGAATTTTTTAATACTTTTTCCTGTTTTGAGTCCGCAGTGTGAACACGGTGGACTCCGATTTTGTTTACACTACTTCCGATAAAATGCGGCCGGATGTGAAGATTTTAATAGCCCGAATACATACTAATAGATACTAGGATGTGTTGAAGATTCTGTTGGGGACATCAATATACCCCAAAAAAAATTCTGTATTTTTGTGTGCTAGCGAACTTCCGGCATCGTCAAGGTCAAGCTATGAATATATATATATACATTGTCATTTTTTCCCAAGATCACCTATTGATCGCGTGTTGTTGGATCATTAAAGTTTGTGTCCGAGGATTTTCGTCTTCTTACTACCCGCCTTGCTAGGAGTCTGGATCAAGCAACATAGCTGGGGATGGAGTATTGCCAAAATCCTAATGTCACATTGTTTACTCGCTGCGTTACCGGACCGTAACAGATTCCTTTCTTCAAACCACGGTTTCAGAAAAATCTTGGGTGTGCGTCTAAGGATCGGTAGCTGAGGCACTATCGAAGCTCTACGATTTGAGGGCGGCGGGCAAAAATGTAAGAAGAGAGTGAGTGAAACAAGTGACATCATGCCCGACACATGACAAGCAAAGTGCGAATTGCAGAAGATGAGGAACCAGAACATCAAACCTGTCGAAGCAGCAGGTTCGGTGCAATACAGCCGGTCAGTTTGAACTAAAAACCAAAGCCATCGCTGAGGTCACGTGGCCTTGGGCTGTTGGGTTCATGTTCAATGTCCAAAAAAGCGTAAGTAAGGGTGATGATGTGAAGGTATCGGTAACGTGAACAAATGGTAGCAGGAACCTCAGAATCACAGTTTACAGTAAAAGTGTAGGGACAGCTTGCTGTCGCTAACGTAGCGGACCCAGGTGTAGTTTCTCCGAAGAAAAGGCTGGTGATAACACACAAATCAGGACGCGAACTGTGAAGAAAATCATTGAATTTATGGAAAAGACACACTGGAATGGCTAAATCTGAACGCAGCGTTTAGCAGAGTAGAATGAACGCGTCTGCGAGGCGACTGAGTCCGGGTATAGAGTTCGCTCGTATTTGCAGCTAATGGATCAAGTGAGCGAGAGAGTACAGTGAAGAGTAGGAAGGGAGTAGTTGCAGGTGTGTCATCAGACCGAGTATGGCAGAACTGTGCCTGCACAGGTTAGACGTAACTTGGTTTTTGGAAGGCGCCGTAACGGACGCCATACATGAGGTCACTGGGCTGGGATGTGCGATTAGTCCATTAATAGATGACGCGGCGGCGTAAATCCTGCTTCTCAGTGGCATTTTCACATACACTTGGGATTTTATAGTGTGCCGATTCACCTAAAAGCCAGAAAGTGCGCGTTCAGATTATATCCATTGACTTGTCACACTAGGCGTTCTACTTGTCGTGTGCGAATAAAATAAAAAGCCGAG